AATTCAGAAATACTTAACTGTGCAAGTTTATTGTTAAGCTGTTTTAAGGAAGGTGATGCCATTGTATTTATTCTAGGGATTTGGGAGCATCTATAATCTGACATTGGAGAAGAATATCTGTTCGGAGAGTAATTTACAGCTAATTTTTGCATTTTAAAATCCAACTCTTCTTCTTTAAAATCCAGTAAAGTCATTACATGTTCCAATTGTCCATTAGCATTTTCAAAATTGCAGCACATTAATTCATTCCAGCAGTTCATTAAAAATACATTTAATGCTCTCTTAGTTAAGGCAGACTTTAGGACAATATTCATTTGAACCTTCAAAAAACAGCGAGCTTCAACAGGTTTAAAAGTATTTATATAGATTAAATTCAAATACGAACATATGCTCAATATTACAAAATGCATTGTTAAATATTCATAAAAGTAATCGAGCCTTTTGATAAGACTATGTGCAAGATTATAAGCTTCAATAAATATAGAAAGACATTTATTTTTGTCAAATTTTCCAGATTCAAAGCACAAACGACTTTTCAGGTAAGAATATTCTGCCATTAATATAACATTATTGTTCAATTCATTGTTATTGATATCCTCTAGCAATACTTGTGCATCACTAAATTTTGATTTGTTTAAAAGAGAAGTTGCTAATGCTAATTTATAATCAATATCCATTTTAGGCAAATGTTTAGCTAAATTAGTTAATTCAAACGTATCTATCTCATTAATTTTTAATAATTCTGTAAGTGCTATAAAAATATGTTTTTGACACTTTATATTAGAAGCTAATTTATATAAAAGTTGCCACACTTCCACTTCTTTTGAATCACCGTGCAATTTGAGTATAAAAGCAACTTCTTGAATACTTTTAAAAAGTAATTTGACATCATGATTATCTTTAATTGTATCATTTATTAAAGCAGACCAATACTTAATAGCCCAATTCAAGCAATTGTCAAGTTTAGGTTTTATTTTTAATGGCAATATCCAAGACATAGGTTCATATTGAATAGTATTTTGTTGCTCCATACCATGTTCCAACCTCTCTCCAGTATACAAATCCAATTCTTTATTGACAAGGTTTTGCAAATGTTTTAATAAACACAGGTAATTTGCATAATATAAATTACCTAACATCAACGGCATACTTTTTTTCTCTATTGATGTTTCTACTTCTAGTTTACGAATGTAGTCCTCCAGTACATCAATAACCCTTTTTAAACCTCTTATACTATTTGAATGCAGGATTATGTAAGCAGTAGTAATTATGACACGACACTTGAACTCTCTAGACAGTTTATCACCCATTAATTCTTCAAATAGTTCCAACACAGCAGTAGAATCTTGTTTTATTTTATTTTGATGATTATGGGCTTTTAATTCTAGCCACATTATTTCAGTGCAATCAGATTTTTTCAAACTATATTCGGGCCATTTCTTTTTTAGATCAATATCATTTTCAAATGTTTTCAAAATTGTTTGTTTGATAATATTATTATTTCTCTCCTCTTTGCATTTAAGATAAACCCATTGTTGGGCAGCAAGTTCAGAACGAGTACGCACACACCAATATGCAATACACCTTAAAGCTTCATTATTTTTATTTTTATTGTATAAACATCGACTCAGTAGAATTGCAACACGAGCCACAAGTTCTGAATCAATTCCACAAGGATCAAATATTGAATATAATTTTTCAAGGAAATCTAAGCATAAATGTGAGAATTCACCAGATGATGTAAAAATACAAAGATTATAAGCACTTGTTAATGAAAATTCAATGAAAGCAATTTTGTTTGAGCAATTTGATTTACTAACTCTATCGAATAAAGAAGTGAACAATTCCATCCACTGTAAGACATCTTCGGTATTTATAAATGTATGATTAGCATTAGTTATGTGTCGTATCATGATAAACACTATGTTAATCAAACTCATTTCAGATGTTGAATCCTCTTTGAGATCACATCCGTTGCTTTTACAACATATCTGACTAATTGAACTGTGTTTACTTATATAAACTAAATGGTGTAGTAGTACAAGCATTTGTGAGACTGTTTCAGGAGAATTAATAATCAATCCTTCATTCCAAAAGTTCTTTAACTTTGTTATTGTAATAATGGTAGCTTTAAACACATGATGTAATATTGTGTTAGGTAATATCATTGTTGGTTCATACTTTTCAACAAATGTTATCATTTTACGAAGTTCAAAATTTGAATCAAGACCATTTTTCATAGAGTTATCAATAAATTTGAATAATGAAATCAATAATGACAATGATTCTTTTTCAGTTTTATTTAAACAACAAACATCAATCATTAATTTAATATGCTTGATTAAGTAATGTACATGCATCTGTCTGTGACGCATCATGTTTTGCATTACAGCAACAATATTTTCAATTAACATAAAGTATAAATACATCATACATTCTTGATCATTTTTTTTCCGAAAACCACTGGAAGATAACACTGATTCTAAAGTCATATCCAAAATCACTACATCCATAGTACGGCCTTCATGTAATATTAATCCATTCATATTTTTCACAAGTGTTAGTGATGAAGATAATGCATACTCAATTTCTTTTCCAGTATGGCATTTCACAAGGTTTAATGCAGCATCCCACATCAATATAACGTTTAACTTTTTTAAATCATCATCAATGGGACATGTCTTATGAATATGATGTGCAAATAACTGAACTAAGTATTTCAGTATATCACATGGTGGAGATAAATTATTTAAAAGATAATTACTAAAATGGACAGCTTCAGACACGTGATTATTCAAAAGTAAATATTTGACAATTACATATAAACTATTTTGTATTGGTTGCAGTTCAGACAAATTGATCATTTTAAAGCAACGATCAGAAAATTGAATGACATCATTAGTATTTTTACCAAACTGCTTTGTTTGGTTAGTAGAAGTAAATTCAGATTGAAGTTTTTGAGCCAACACACTTACTATACTAACTGCAAAATTTTGAAATCCTTTAATGTCTTTGACATTGTTGTAATGAATGTTAAAAGTATTGAGAGCTTCTTTTAAATTATCTTGGTTAATATCATTCTGTATTAGAAGAAAAATTTTCTTTAACTCACCCATTATCTGAAAAAAAATATATTATGTTAAATATAAATTAATTTAAAATATAATATTACTTGAACAATATTAAATGTTTGACTTCAAACCAAAATTGAAATATGTACAATAAATTCATAAATTAAAAAAATATTGACAACTGTTACAAAAATGCAGAGAAATTAAATAAATATAAATCATGAACATTATGGATTATATTTTATTATTACTACCTATAACATAATGTATATTTACCAAGTAATTGAGTGCTGGTTGATTTAAACTTATTGAAGATAAAGCTGATAAAAATTAGTTCATTTAAATTATGATTTTTTAGGCACTATCTTTTACACGTCCGACATGAAATTCATCCTTTCTGTGGTGAAACTATAAATTATAAGACAGTATATTAAGACATTAAGTAAAGTCTACAAATTAAGTTAAGCTTTCATTTTTTTATTATCTTTTACAAGACAATACAAAAAAACGGTTAATAATGTTCATATCACTTGAAAAATGAAATTACTCTCTTATATCAGTATATCATGGAACAAAAATATCATATCAGTTCGGCTTGCAAGGAAATAAATTTTATTATCACTGCCCGCTGAGTTGAATATTACCTACATAATAAATTCTTATTTCAGATTCTGATTTCTGAGCGGAGCGATTAATCTATTGATTTTACAATGATGTGTTTTTTAGATTCTCAGTGGAGCGATGAATTTATTAAATTTACAATGTTTTTTTTTAAAATTTGTATTGGGTCTGTCATCACCTTTTAGGACAATAAAAGTACATACATTTCAGATTTTCTTCAACAGTATCTTTTCTGATAGGAAAGTGAATCTTGTTGGTACTTTGGGGGGCAAAAAATAAAAATTTCCAAGTAGTTTTCAGAAGCGCCGTGAATAACAAAAGAAAAATTAAGGAAAAACGGGAATTTTTCCTCAAAATCGATTTTGGTTTATAGTGTAACTCTACAACTAAATAAATGACTGAATGTTTTTAATAGCATTTTCTTATTTTGAGCTGTTTACGGACATTTTCAGTTTGGGATAGATGATATCTTAACAACGGTAGAATCGGTAAATGGCGAATCATCACCGATTTCCATACGACGTACTGCAGCTCTTGTCATAATTCAGAGCTGGTTAAATGTTTAACAGTATCTTCAAAATATCCGTTTGTTTTTCCTTCCTCCAAAGTTTTATGTATTTCTAGAAAATATGAATGAAAACTGCAGTTCCTGTATACTCAATACTCATACTGTATAGTGTATGTGTATACAAAATACACATTACACATTTGAATATCAATATTTTTGGTTTTTTACCGACTACCAGTCACCAGATAACCATATCAAGCTGGTGATATGAGATCATCCGCCACGGAATCGCATTGGTTGGCCCATGTTCGTAGTACCTATAGTACGAACTTCGTACCTAGGGATTTTTATTACGCTCTAAGTGCGATTTCAATGATTACGTATTTACGTCATATAAAAACATCTAAAACCTATTGTTTATTTGTATTTTGTGTTGAAAATCGTATTTCTCGTTCGTGTCGCGAGGTGTGCACCGACTGGACACATGACGGTTTGACGTTATCGTCGTGAAGTTGTATACATATTGTATGTAATATGTATGCGAATTTCGTTTCGTCAATCGAAAATTATTATTAATAAACAACGGGTGGTTTTAGGCGTTTTAGCCTTATATACTCTTATCGTAGATATGGATTGATATTCGATATTTCGATCGAATCGTCGGCCGCGGTACGGTAATACAGTCTATGGTTTGTAAATTTATAAGCCCGTTCGTCGCAAAATCGTCGTTTAACTGTTCTATCGTTGACGTTACTACGTTAGTTGCTCGTGCATCATAGCCCAGTGGACAGTGACCAAAAATGGCAGGTAAGAGTTGTACCGTTCTTTTACTATTGGGTACTGTACGTTTTGTTCGTGAAATCGGTACACAGTGGTAAAGTGAGCTTTTCCCTTGCATTCAATTGTATGATTATATACATCATCATCATACACTATTATTATTGTCTAATGTCTATTATCATTATATAGTATATACAAATATTACAAATATAACGTGCATACCTCTATTATTCAATATTCAATATTGTATAGGTTTTATGTTATTAAAATTATAATATATTTTTTCATACAATACGAAATAATCTCCTTAGTTTCTTACTTATTTTTATATTTATATTTTAAATGTACGCATTCATCCACTGTTGGTGGCTGGTGCCTGTCGTACTTTGCCCATCTATGGTGACCAAACGTCAAATTTTACCGATCATTTTGGAATATTTCTAATATAAATATATTATGTCAGTTCTTAAAGACCATTGTGTACTTGTGTGTCATTGGACAAACAATTGTAGAAATTGACTCTAATTATAAGATATCCTATGACTACCAGTGCTTATTTTATACCTAATTATTATTTAAAATCCATTAACCATTTGCTATTAATTTGAGTCCCTTGTCCATGAATTTTTAAATACAAGTTATGTCAGTCATTTATCTAGCTTTGGCATACCTACTTGTTAATATGTTGACGTTTGAACACACTTGCCTATCACACTTGTAATATATGAGATTGAGTTATACACGTAGGTATACACTTACAGAATGTGTTTGATTCATGGCTTAATGTGCTGTTTCATTTGCTGTAACAACACCCTAAAATTAAACTAAATTTATTTATTTCGTATTATTGAATGAACTGTATTATATACCTACCTATATGTAAAAATTGCTGTTTTATATATATAGTACTATAGTAGTGATCATGTGACATTAACGTTTCATGCTACTCGATATTTTTCACTTCAAAAAAAATTGTATGAATCATAAATATGTATTAATAAGTGACCATTAATTGTATTTAGTAGTTGAATGTAAAAAAGATTTAAAATCTTCTTAACAAGTTGTTTGTTATTGACAGCTATTATCTACAAATTAGGTTTACTCATTAAAAATAATATAAACAAAAATTAGCTGTATAAAAAAATGTACAAGGCAAAATAAATTGATAATTATAATATTAAAAATCAAACTTTTTCTTCATTATGCCAACTACAAATTTTAAAACTAGTTAAAATAAACTTGTACCTATAACCTATACATCTTATTATAGTTTATGATTTCAGGCTTCTAGAAATACCAATGCATCATTAAAATAATTGTGTAAAGATTTGAACATGAGTTAATAATAATAATAATAACTTAATTGTAGGAAATTTGCAATAAGTGATAATGCTATGTATGGTTAAAGAGTATAGTAATTAGGAAAACAAATACCATTTTACAAGTGACCGAAACATGTGGGAAAAACAGGACAGAAAAATTAACTTAAACATCTTATTTCAAAAGGCCTCAAATATATTAATGCAATCAATATCTAATAAAAAAAATATATAAATTATTACGATTTATTTATACTAAGTGATTATAGAAAATAAATAAACCTATATAACTACCTACAACCTACTTGATATTTAGTTTCATACAAATTTAAATCAACTTAGTCAATAGTCATTAAACAAATAAATACATTTATAGAAATCAAAAAAATAATTCAATTAGCATAATAAACTACTGATGTAGGTAGTATGGCTAACATCCCTAAAATATAATTTAGTTAAAAATAATTTTTTTTCTCAAAAATATACCTATTTAGGTCAATCATAACTATCTATTGAAGTTGATAAATAGGTTTTAAATATGATTTTTATTTCATTGTCTAGACCATAATTATTGTGATAATGAGAATGTATTAAAAACCACTGAACCATCTATTAGTGAAAATTATGAATCAAAATGTGTAATATCCATGTCAGATGATCCTGAGTATGAAGAAGTACCTAAATCTGGTCCTCAGACAAGGCTTAAGTCAAAAAAAAAGTTGGAACAATCTCAATCCACTTGGTCACCAGTTCGAACTGCTCCAGGTCTACGACCAAATTGCACAATATTTTATGATGGAAATGGATTTGCCTACCATAACCATAAAATTGCAAATAACAAAAAGTAATGACAACATGATAATAGTATTTAAATTAATTCAATTTTGTTTTATTTTAAATATTTTGATATAGGTATTTGAAATGTACTCAAAAAGGTATTAAAAAAAAACCATGCCCAGCTAGAGCTGTTATTAGAAATTATGATAACATGATTCGTCATTCAGGAGAACCACACACACATAAACCAAGAAACTATGATGAAGAATTATTAAAGAGAAACTTTTTAATGAAAATTAGAGAGAGAGCAATCAATGAGAACACACCTAATAGAGCAATTTTTGACGAAGAAATAAAAAAGTTAGTTTATTTTATTATTTTTTACTATACATTTAATAATAATTATCTCTGATTTTGAAATAGTACACCAAAACTAAAGGGTAAAGTAACATTTTCGAGTACTGCAAGAAGAATGCAGAGGTTTCGTCAGCCACAAAAAATGCAAGGCCCACTATTTCCTATAGAAGACAATGAACTTATTGATGCAATAAATGATTACAAAAATATTCCACATGAATACACTAATAATAGTGAAGACGAAGAATGTAAACCTGTTATAACGTTTGATGCAGAGAATCATATGGAAGTGATAGAATTAGATGAAATTGATATGGAGAGTAATGAATATACTGATGAGGTTGAAAGTGAAGTTTTACATGAAAAAAATGATAAGGAGAATATTTCAAAAAATGTTAAAAAAGAAATAGATGCAACTGTGAATATGTTTTGTAAGTATTATTATTTTAAAACATGTATTTTTTACTTAATTTTAATGTTCCTTTATTTTAGGTTGTATATATTGTAATAAGTGGCAAGAACCTCAACTTTTTGAATTTGTACCCAATCAAAAATCCAAAACAATTGAATTGAGAGACAAGTTAGAGAAATATAATGTAACATCACCCATTGATCATTCTAATCCAGTAACTATTGATAGTTCTTCTGAAAATATACTAAATAATAATCAAACTTCTACTCTTGACCATTCTGAAGAACATGAAGACATATCTCTTAATAATGAAGATAACATCACAGTTAAACAAGAAAACAATAGTGTTGTTGCAAATACTAGTATCCCAGAAACTGCTAATCCAGATACATATAAAGAAGCAAATGATAGTGTAGGTGCGGGTGTTAGTATTTCAGAAATTAAAAATCCAGAAACACATGAATCATCCACTAAAGAAAAAAAAAAAAAAGTTGAACGAAAATTAGGGTTTTTACAGATGCGAATTGATTCAACAATATATTTTGATAATATGGGTTATAGTTATCAAATACAAAACGAAAAAAATGACAAGAAGTAAGTAATGTATCCAATAAATTAAAATCATGTTTTTGATATTTTTCAAATATGTGTATATATTTGTTTATAGGTACTTAAGATGTGTGGTTTGGGGTAAAAAGAAGTGTCCTGGTCGAGCCCATTTAAACATAAAAACATTGAATATAATTAGATCTAGAGGTCACAATCACTTACCATCTTCTAACTGTGATGCTGAAAAACAAGCTAGGGCATTTTTGCATGCTATTAAAGAAAGGGCTCAAGATGAAGATACTCCCTTAAAAACTATTTACGCAGAAGAAATATTGAAGTAATTTAAAATAACATTGTTAAAACTAAAACAAATAATAATTATAAAAAACAATATTTAGCTATCCGCTTGCTAGTTCTGTGGTTAATTATGCAAATGCTACCAGACGAATGCAAAGGACAAGAAGATTGAAAAATCAACCCAGTACAGTATTACAAAAAGAACCACCATTACTATTATCTGTTAAAGTGATACCTGGTACACGACGTGGAACATCTTTATATTTGGATGAACTAGGATATTATTACCATAATGATACATTAACCAACAGTGGAAAGTAAGTAGTAACACTATTTTTACTTTTGAGGTGTTAAGAGGACGCTACACTCGTATTATGTGTTGTCTTCATCTTACAAATGTACAACATAGCAAAAATTGTTAGAACCCCTCAGGCTGCAGTGATAGTTAAAATTCCAAATTTATATACAAACACTCTGTCCAGCTAGAGAATACATTGAATCTGCCGGTCACCCTGCTATCGTAACCGGTTCTCCTATGACAGTGTGTCGCTTGGGGATGCTCAGAAAAACTCATTTTGGTTGGCCCGCGGACCTCTGGACCTAGTTTTGTTGGGAACATTATCAGTGAAATATCATTTTTACATATCACTTATACGAAAAAAGTTCTAATTGTTTAAAAATCCATTATTTTTGTGTTTTTCAAACCTCAACTTTTTCTTTAGTTCCAATACTGAAAAAACAATATTTCAATGTAGTGAAAATTTATTTTTTATTTATGAAGCCTTCTTGGTTCTTTCCGGCACAAATTATTTTTTCTTATATTTTACATTTGTAAGATAGACAACACATGCGAGTGTAGCGTCCACTTAATAAAGGTAATAATGTAAGTAAGATGCACTAATTGAAATAATTTGTAGAATAGTAAGATGTACCAAAAATAGAAAAACAGCAACTGAAGAAGCGTGTCATTCGAGAGGATTTATGCGTGCTTCTGGAGACGGATTTGTCATATATAGAACTAAAGATCATAACCATCCACCAGTGGATCTTAAGAGAAATCCATTGGAACGATCGTTCATTAATACCTTATGTGAACGGGCACGAAATGAGACTCATTTGGGTCTCAAAGAGATTTACAATGAAGAAGTTGAAAGGTTAATTAATAAAAATGTAATTCATTTATAAGACTTCTCAAAAATAAAAATTTAAACTATATGTATGCTGAGATCTGATTTAGAAACTAAGTAACTGGCTTTATTCAACTTGGTACTAGATAGTCATGAATTATTATTAAATTTTAAAGTTAATGATAAACGCTCATAGTTAGAAAGAAGATTTTCATTGGAGTATAGTCATTTTGGATTGAACTTATTTATTTGTATTTTGTTTTGCTTTGCTTATGAGTTATGACGATTGGCAATTATTGGACTAATTAGTCTTATTGAAATGTATTTTTTTTTCTGGCTGGGCTAACAATTATTTCTTTAAAAATCCAATTTATAATTAATGTTTAGGGTCACTATAATCTATTGAAACAATATCCTAGTACAGAAAAAACTTAAAAAAGGATCACAGCAACAAAAAAATCATTGTTCGTACCATAATACTATCTAAACTAAATAGTACTAGCTTGCTTTGCTCGGTGTTCAGAAACCAGAATATTAACTATAAAATGTAGGTTGATTATAAATATTAGACAATAGATCTATTTATTTTAATACAGCTATGTTTTAATTTTATTGAACAAACATAATATATTTACAATCTGTATTTACAAGTGATACAATAAGTAAATGGGATGATTTTTGGTAAACAGGAGGGGGAAGTCACCCAGTGGCGGCACCCCGTGGAAGCGATTTAGGGAGAAAGTAGGTCCCTACACCAGTTCCTTTTCAGGCGCCTGGGTGGATTACCTGGAATTTGATTTGATGAAAGTTGGGTGATTATAGGATTAGAGTGAGTAATGAATGTTTTGTGTGTTTTTTTATAGGTGATTTTGGCAAGGCTGTTTAAGGTTGGAATGCAGATGTCTTTATGGAGTGATTCATTGGTAATATACCATGGGGCACCAGATATTAAACGTAGACAAATAGACTGAAACGCCTGTATTGTTCTAGTATTTGAGGGTTTGGCTGATCCCCAAAGTTGTATGCCATAGTACCACATGGGTCTTAGAAGAGCCATGTATATTGTTCTTTTAGTTTTTAATGAGAGCTTTGAGCGGAGTAAGGGTCTAAGAAGGTGGAGTCTTGAATTGAGAGCTTTACGCTTGTTTTTTAAGTGGGGACCCCATGTAAGGCGTTTGTCAAGAATTAAACCCAAATATTTGGTTTGCGTGGAGGATGGAATTTGTTCATTGCCGATAAAGGTTGCGGGACATTCTAAGGATCGAAGTGTGAAGGTAATTTGAGAAGATTTTGATGGGTTAACTTGGATTTTCCAGTCGTGAAACCAGTTGTTTAGAACATTTAGGTGGTTTTGGATTTTTTGGGCAGCATGGATGGGATCTTTGTCAGTAGCAAGAATAGCAGTGTCATCCGCGAACGTACCAAGTAGTGTGTTTTCGTTTAGAGGTAGGTCGCTGGTAAATACGTTAAATAGGAAAGGAGCTATGTCACTGCCTTGGGGAACACCAGCAGTTGCTATTTGAGAGTTGGAAAAGGTGCCGTTAATTTTTGTGACAAATGTTCGTTGGTTTAGATAAGATTTAATTAGTAGGTAGTACGGAGCAGGCAAGAAGGATTTTAATTTAAAAAGTAAGCCGGGGTGCCAGACTCGGTCGAAAGCCTGTGCAATATCTAGGAAAATACCAATGCAGATTTGTTTGCTCTCGAATGCTGATGAGATTTGATCGACAACTCTATGCAGTTGGTGGATTGTGGAGTGTTTAGATTTGAAGCCGAATTGGAAATCAGGTATAATTTTATTAACTGTGGCAATTTTTGTAATTCTTTTTAGAAGTATTTTTTCAAATAGTTTTCCTATGACAGACAGAAGGCTTATGGGACGGTAGGAGGATGGGTTTTCAGGAGGTTTGCCTGGTTTGTGGATGAGTATTATTTGAGCATGTTTCCAAATAGATGGCATGTAAGAAAGACGGAGTATAGAATTGAATATATATGACAAAAGTATTATTGTTTTGGGTGGTAATTTTTTTAAAAATAGAGCAGTTATTAGATCATAACCAGGAGCTTTGCCAGATTTTAAATGTTTTATATAGAAGAGAACTTCATTTGGGGAAGTGGGTTTGGCAGGCATAGAAACTGGTAGTGGACTATCTAAGAACTCGAATACTCTGGCAGAGTGCTGGGGATTAGTTTGTATGATGTTTGGTTTAAATACTGTAGCAAGGTGTTCAGCAAAAACGTTGGACTTTTCATAGTCGTCGGTGATTTTAGAGTTATCGGGGCGACGGATTGGCGGAGTTGGTTCGATATGTCTAAGGATTTTTTTGGTTGCTTTCCAAAGCGAGCCGTTTGTTGGATTTAGGTTAGAGATGTAGCTATTATAGGATTGATTTTTGTGGTTTTGGAGTTGCCTTTTAAGTTTGTTGGTTAGGTTATTAAAGATCCGCTTGTCGTTAGGATAACCTGTAGTTTGCCATTTGGCACGAGCTTTTCTTTTTTGTCTTAAGAGTTCATTGATGTGGCCGTTTTAATTTTTCTTCATTAAATTATCTACAAATTTTAAAAAGCCTTCCCAATTCTCACACCTCAGTACACCTTTCATTAAAAACCTAACATTGCAAAATTTTCCATTAATTGAGTACATAGTTGTGTTGATATAATATCATTATTTATTAATCATTATTCATTAGTATCAATAGAAAAATGTTTAATACATTATAGGTTTCTTGATGCGGCAGAAAAAATTCCTTATCGAATGGCATGGCGGAGTATGGCAAGAACAAGACAACCTCCTAAAGTATCTGGGGAAGTGAAACTAGTTAGTGTATCAGTTATTTCAGATGGAATGGTCATGTGGGATGGGTATACACTATATAGAGATGAAATAGGATTTTTATATTCATTAAGGAAAGGAAGAAAGTAAGACTGAAGCATATGTTTTATAATTATTTACAATTCTAATTATTTAAATGATCTTTCATAGATTTGCATGGTGTCAAATGAATACAAAATTAAAATGTTTAGTTAAAGGCTCAATATCAGTTGAGAATGATACTACAATGTTAGAGTTTACTGGAGAACACAATCATTCGCCATTGAGTGACGAAGAGTTTCAAGCCGCTATTTTTCTTGAAAAGATAATGCTTAAATGTTTAGAAGATGACAGTAAACCAAAGAAATTATATGATGAAGAATTAGTTAAGTACGTTGAATTTAAATAAATAATCTATTCAAAAATTATATCTATATTGATATTTGTGTTCACTTTTATACAATTAGCTTTCCTGGTGTTGAAAACCGAGTATCATTAGCATACGCACGCGAAAAAATAAAAGCTAGAAGAAAAAGTGCATTAAAAAAAAATTCAAATAATGAAATGTTAGAAACTACTTGTGAACCATTGAAATATATTGAATTTTGGGATGAGGAGAATAATTCTATTGATGATGATGACTTAAATGACGATGTTTACTCTGATGATGATGATGTCAGTGAAAAGTCTAAGGATTCTTACGATATTTACTCAGATGAACAAGGCTTCAAATTTACAATAGTCAGTGTAAAAGATGAAACTAGGTAAATTTTAATTTTTTTATTGATTACTTACTATAAGTCATGATAATTTATAAGTTATAATATTATTTACCATAATTATTATTAATTACAGATATTTAGAGTGTATACAGAAGCATAGTGGATGCAATGCCAAAGGAGAAATGTTTAAAGGTGAAAATGATGAGTGGCTATTTGTTCTTCATGGCTACTCTCACAACCATTTACCTCATGAAGATAATTAAAATTATGAATACAAATTTAAGTATAAGTCAATGAAAGATTATGATTTTGTTATATTCACTATTTTCACTAGTATGATACCATTGTTATTTTCTCAGTGGTGTTTTATATTTTTGTTTTTACTATTAACATGAATATAAAAAAAAAAACAAAATGTTTTAATAATTCTTAATACAAAAATATTATAGTTTTATTATAAAGTAAGAAGTATTATATAATACTAAATAAATATTCTGTCACGATTTAATTTCATAATTTAAAGGCAGTTTGTTAAATGTGACCAAGTCTGACCTTCCAGCTATTTGGTATTTTGGTCATCTTAAATGTAATTAGTAATGCAGATAAATTAGGAGCAAAAATTGATAAAATACATAGAATGTAAAAAAATAATAAATTAATTAACTTTTAACTTTTTCAGAAGAGAAAGACATTTTAAAAATAACTACACATTATTTCAATATAAAAAAAATATATTTGTGTATTTATTTTATAATTTATAGATTAATAGATTATTATTGGTTAAATGTATCCTGTATATATATATATTTTGATTTAAATATAATTAAATAAATTCCCCTGTATCTTGACATTTGATGTATTATTATACTAAAACATGTACTATAAATTATATATCATAAGGACAGAAGCGCAAATTGTATTTGAAATTTGGGAGAACTGAATAATTTTGATATTTTGATCTCAAACAGTATGTCAGCATGATGAACACCAAAACATTGAATTGTCGAAGAGTTTGATGATTGTAGTTTCTTAAGAACAATTATGTATTTAGGAGGGAAGTCAATAGTCAAGAATAAACAATTTCCTTGCACTTCTTTTAATTAACAACACATATTGTTGATAAAATTAATTTTATTATTTTGTTGTAATTATATTCAAAAACTAATAAGTAAAAACCATTAATACATATGATTTTCACCAAATATTTATACTAGCATTTCCTAGGCATGGTTCTGAGGGATTTAAGACATTTAAAAAGTTCCAAATCTTATATAATCCATGGAATATTCTAAAGTCTTATATTAATGTAAATATTACCATAGACATAGAGCATAGACTGATATCTAAATAACAACATTTGCTCTATTGAAAAATCATTTACAATTTATACTTATAACTTATAACTTCTAAGCTCATTGCCCAAATGTTAGTTATAAATTAGAGACTTAGATAAAAACATTCAAAACCTTCTCGCTATTAAAAATTGATTGCACTAAAACAAGGGTTCTCAACCTTTTGAGGTCCACGCCCCCTTTCAAAATATATGAGTTCACTCCACACTTCTCATTACTATAAGATTGATGTATGCATAACAGATATATATAACAATCACATACTCACAAATAGGGGAGGGGGGGCTAAACCCCCCAAATATTTCCTACATTTTGTTTTAAGCTTATTTAATTATTTAATATTATCAAAGTAAGGCTTTAGCTATTTACGCCTATGAATAATCGTAATATTTATTTAAGGGCCATGAAAACTTATTCTTATAGTGCTTATTCTATAGTGGTTGTTTTGACAATACAATATGATTTGTTCAGTCTTATATAATCGTAATTTTGTAAAATTCATTTTCACACACTCCCTCCTGAAATTTTGTCACGCCCCCAGGCAGAGAACCCATGCACTAAGGGGTTCCTATTTGTATTGTAATGTATACAATTTTATAAGTGCACATCATAGAAATATAGTATCTTAGGGCTGGATTAAGAGTCATGAGGGTGTAAATTATTACAGTCTAAAAATGATTTTAAATTATATAAAAATTAAAATATAGTAAAAAGCTAACATACCGACACAGTTAATGTTCTTAACTCAAAAGATTGATAATGGGCAATCAACTTTTTTTTTTATTTACACAATATTATATACAATCCGTACAATTATGCACAATTATGCACAATTAGCATATTTGATAAGAGTTAAAAATAATACATGAGTACGTGAGTAAGAAGACACCCATTAGTGGCACTTGACTGGAAGTTATATGAAGCTAGCTATATTTATATTTATATAGGTACCTACTGTTTTTTTTTTTTTTTGGTTTGTTTTAATTTTCGATTTAAGTTCCCTAGCAAGTCACGGCACCAGCTCCTTTTTAAGCCACGCCTGTCGTTGCCAGGTAATGTTTGCGTGGACAGGTTTTTAATGAGTGGGTTTTGGTGGGTTTGTAGCCAGGCATGAAAGATTTTGTAGAAACGTGTAGCTTCTTTTGTCACGGTTTTAATTGACAGGTCATTATGTATAGTGTAATTCGAAACAAAGGGTGGAGCATTAGTAATTTTCCTAAGAGCAATATTCTGAAATCGCTGAATTTTGTTAATGTTGGACGCTTTTGCTGTACCCCATAGTTGGAGACCATATGTCCATAGAGGTTTGAGTAATGTTTTATATATAAGAACTTTAATTTTTAAACTGGAGTGTTTGTTGTTTGTGAGTAGTGTTTATAGTATATTTTTATATAAGCATTTTAAATTCAAAAATTGATAAAATATGGAAAAATTGCGAAAATTAGAAAATTATTTTGAGTTAAGATTTCGTAAAAATTTTACTTTTCAATCTAAGATTTTAAAATGTAATAAAAGATTCCTTATAAAATTATCTACCTTTATAAAAAAAAGTCTATAAGAAAGTCAAATTAAATTTTTATGAGTTTGAAATTCAAATTTTTACATTGGATATTCACTTGATTTCTCATGTAGAGATTAATTTTTTTGTTGTAATTCAAAAACGAATAACTGTAAATAGGTACATGAAAATTTCCCTGAATGTTTATATTAGCATTTCTTATACACCATACAATTTTTAAAATATTTTGACTCTTTTTGAGCTGTTTAAGGACATCTTCAGTTTTCAATTTTTTTAGTTTCTTTTTCTATACAAATCAATATAGTTTTATCTGTTGTGCTAAAAAGTGTAAAAATTTAATTCAAGGCTCCTGATATATTGTTACAATATCAGTTGAAAATATTAAAAATACATAGGCACAATTTTTTTTTTGTAAGCATTTAAAGATTGAATTTTGACAAAATTTAATAATTATTTTGTAATTAAAAATGTATAAAGTGTTCAACTTTTATATCTAAGGATTGAAAGTTTATAATAAGATTCCACTTAAGTAGTTAATTTTGCTACCAAAAAATCTATAAAATACATATATATTTTTATAGTAAAGTTCAAATTTGGACGAAATTACATAAAAAAAACCTAGAAAAACTATTTTAGTTATTTTGTTGTAATTGTATAATATTATTCGTGGGTACTTAAAACTTCTAAAGTATACTACTATATGTCTATGATAGTATCACGGTTTGTTATCGATGTATAACACGTTATAAGTACCAAATTGATATTGTGATATGATTAATTTGGAAGTTATTATAGGTCAATTTTTTTTAATACCATAGATAAGTATATAATATGTTTTATACCTAGACAGACGTACTGTCTCCGCTCAGAATGGTTTTTCTTATACAATGACATTATATCATTGAATTCAAATTTAATACCATCCATTATACAGTCCACTTAAAACTTGCTGTACAGCAGAGCGCTTTTTTTTTTTTTTTTAATTATTTAAACTGAAAAATTACTTTTACAATTATCTATGTTCCATTTTCAATCATTAGATATTAATATAATATATGCAAATATGCAATATAATTATTAATAGATCCACCTAAAATCATTATGCATCTGCAATAGAAAATAGAAATAAATGAGAAATATAATAATCATAATTATTTGTTTATTTTATTTATTTGTTTATTGTTATATATTTATTTCTTACAACTACATGAAAAATAATCACAGACGTTTACTTATAATCTCATTACACGTATTATATTGAAATAATTAAAATAATTTTTTAGGTGACATAATAATAATAATTTACACATATATTTACAAGTATTTCAATGCTCAATGATTAAAAAAAAATAAAAAAAAATACTAATTAAGAACAATAATGATTTAAAGTATATTCGATCACACATCTCAAAAGCATAGACATTAGTTTTATAAGCTCTAGGCTACCATAATAATACAAATCCATAAATAAGAAACAAAAATTGGCGTTCAAAAAAAAAAAAAAATATGCACCTAAATATGTTTAAGTAAACCTATAATCTATATATATAAAAGTATATATATAATTCAAATATAAGACAATAATTTTCTACTACATTAAATAACATTTGATATTTATCAAATGTATAAAAAGTTTACAATTGGTAAACATAATTATCAAAGGTATATAATATCTAATTACAAACAAAAATAACAAATATACAAACTAGGTATGTATGGAAGTTGTACACATAATAATAATAATGTTAACATTTAAACGCAACAATAAAACATTTTAAGTTGTCACAAGTTTGATAGTCATCCAAGTTGAAAATGTTAATTTTTTTATAATATTAAAATGCCGCTGGTGTTGTTTTGTTGTAGAAAATGCTTTTGGATACCTACATCTGTGACAAAATATAAAAATTCATTTTTCGGTTAAAAATTGACAACATTCGGTTTGCTTACTCTCAATACGTTACAGATTTGAAAACGGTTTAACAAATACGAAACGGAGTGAACAAAATACAAATAACTACAATACAATTTTTGTTTACAATATGTCCGTTTTACAAAATAAAAACATACAACTCATATTTGTAAGCCCTACTAATAAGAATATAATTATTAGAAAATATTAAAATTATAAATTTAGCATATGATTACTTTAGATCACACAAGAAATATTAATTATTACATGTAATAAAAAAAGGAAAAAAATTTTGATGAGAACAAATATTAATGTGTAAAAATAGGGCGAACAAAAATGATATAATAATAACAATACTAATTGTAAGAATTCTTAAGTAATCACAACAAATATTAAATAAAATATAATAACATCTTTAAAAATTATTATGACTTATAAATAATAAATATAAATTAAATTGTTTTTTCAAAATATTACATTTCATTTTATATTACAACTGATATAAAATTAGAATTAAAATATTCTTTTTATGACAGGAAATCAAACAATTAATAGTAATAAATGATATATTACATTCTTAGAATAAACAATTTGAAAATATATATATTAAAAAAATTTTAAGCTTTAAACTTTAAATAACTATGATTAAACATACAGACTCTTTTGTAAAATGGACATAATATATTTAATTGTTCACATAAGTAAATGTAATTTATAATTATCAAATTAACATAATTTGTTTTTATTATAATCACATAATTTCATAAATATAATATAAATTATAAACCAATTTGATACTTTTTGTTCAATGTTAGCACATTAGATATAAACCCAATCATACGAAACTACAAAATATCATAATTAAAAAAGTAGTATTATTTGTTTTAATATAAGAAAATATTTTTAACATTACAGTGTTGATTAAAATGCCTAAGACTATTAAGTTCATAATATTGTTTCATGTTTTTAAATGTTTATTTAATTTTTTAAGTATCATTTATAAACCTCTGCTCACCTGATTGGTATACATTACATAACCATCAATAGGTAATAACCACAGTTAAGAGTTTAAGAAACTATTATTCGCTCATGTGTTGCCTCCAGTTAACTAACTCATAATGTGGCAAATTTAATGTTCAAAAGAATCAGTTTTACTTTATTTTTAATATTAGATTGATTTGGTCTTATCATTGAATTTAAATTTAACATTTACATTAATTTATTACTAAATTAGTGATATACATAATGACTTGGTACACTTTACACTTGTTGTACAGCAAAGCGGTTACCTATTTTCCCCCTTTTTTATTATTAAATATAAAAAGGATAGTTAAAAGATAATTAGGGCTGGGGTTTCAATGCACCTTGAATTGTTTTCCAAAACTTATCGTCACAAATGTTTTTTTGTGTACTTTTGAATAAGAATATGAAAGTGTATTTGACATTTTTTAGTTTTTCTTTCATTTTCTTAAATTTTTAGGCCATTTTAGAGTTTTTTGGAGAATTTTTTTGAGTTTTTAGGTACATACAAAACCTAGATAACGAGTTGGTGACATCAACAGTAAAAGTCAATGAGATCTAGCTGTCTGTAAAACTTTTTTTTAAATTTATACTCAAACTACCAATACTTATTTAAGGCGCTCGGTACCAATGTAATTTTGCACACAAAAATACGCTCTAAGGGGAATAATGATCCTGTTCTGTAGAAACAACCAAATTTGTTTTTAAACTAATTGACGGTAATATTCTACAGGCCGAATAGAATTCCGTATTTCAATATTTCAATCTCAAACCTTCTAATATGTCTTCAAAAATAATACAACTGTAAGTGTTTTTTTTTTTATAAATTACATAATTATATTATACCATTATTTGAAATAAAATTAAAAATTGGAGTTTGAAGATGCCTGTGGGAAGTCTTCTTTCAGATAAATAAATTGTTATCAAAATTAGAGATAATTCTACAAGGCCTGGAAATTATTTCCGTGAAGTAATTTTTCTTGATATAATTTCCAAATAGGTTAAAAATACAGTTATAATATATTTTTTTATATAAATTAACAAAGTTAAACACATGCGGGTATAAAGTCCTCATAAGCTGGGTTTCACACTACATTGTAGTACATTTAAATCATTGCTAACACGTTACTTACAATAAAATATATTCAATTCTACATTTGACATGGTTTAGTGGGTACCTAGCTTTAGTGCTGCAGTTGTGAGTGATAGAAACAAATCTTGAAAAGAGAAAGGACACCAAACTTTGCATATACAAGTGGTCCGGAATTATGGACTTTGTCTTATTAATAGACATTTCGATTGTTAATGTACTTTAAAATAATTTTTTCTTATCAAATTTTTTTGAAAAATACACAGTAAGTGTAATGACAAATCGGAAGACTATTTCATTAATTTATTTCATGTAAACTATTGCTCATCAAAATGTGTTATAAGAAATATTGTAATAGTGAAATACGTTTAATGTTTGTAATTAAATTGGTTGAGTCTTTCTAATCTTAGCAAGCAACACTTGAGTAACATTACATGACTATTATGCAATTAATATTTTTATAACTTCTAAATTACAACTTTTTAATCAACACTGAAAACAAGTTTTAAAATATTAAATAAAGCATTCACTCCGTTCCATTATACATTTTAATATCAAGATAAAATAACTATAATATTGTATTCATTAATCACTTATTAATAAATTGTTATTTAAACAGGAAATTTGGAAGGAATAAATAAATATTAAAAACTAAGTATAGTAAATATAATTAATAGGATTTTTTTCTCATAAACATATATTAAATAAGGTTAATGAACTATAGGAAAAGAATTATAAATTGTTCAGTCAAAATAGTAATAATTAATTTTAGATACTATCACACAAAGTACTTAATAGTTAAATGTAACATTTTTACCATGTAAAATAAAATATGAGCCTAAGTAAAAGAAAAAAGTAAATTTGCAAATTATTGTGCTACTATTTATTGTACTTAAAACTCAAAATATGCTTAAATTAAAAATTAAAATATATGAGATCTATAAAATATAAATAGCTATAGAAGAAATTAAAAATATGATTTTCATTTATCATTTTACTTCAAGTAAATAATTGTTAGCCTAACATTGAAAATATTTTAAATCAATCTAAGATGGTTGACGAGACATGAGAAATTAATGTTGCATAATTAATTCAATTATCAGTCTTATGAATTCAAGAAAAATCAGTCTCTTTAGAAAATAAGTAATCTATTCGAATTTAAAAATAAATTATATTGACCTGGACAACTTAATTAATATTAATATCTGTTAGTTTAATTTTATAAAAAAAAATGTATTGAAAATACCTAATATTATAACAAAATTGTCCAAAAATAATAAAAATTGAAGAAATATAATTTATATTATTAAATATTAGTCTTTAATATTTGTCTTTAAATACAGTAAATGTTGTGGATGTTAAAAATATTTTGAAGTTAATAATCCGATTTTATTAATAAATAATAATTGACATTTTTGGATTATAACTATTGCACAAACCATGTGGCTTGTGATTACATTTACTTTAAGTTATAGTTGCTCAGATTAGATAGATATTTTATTTTATTGGGAGTAATACAGGTAAAACAAGCTCACGTGTGGTGGCAGAGATCAAATGAAAAAAAAATAGTATATCAGACAGTAAAATTCACAATTCTAAATTCAAATTTTTAGGTACAAGAATTTTTTTGATTTTGTATAGTACTATCTTTTAAGGTAGAAATGTTCTTTATCATAAGATAATTTTGAGAATTTCCAAGTAGTTCAGTATCTTAAATATATTAAGCGTGTAACACATTTAATAGTGCCCTAAATGTAATATTTACCAATAAAATTAAATGATAATTTAAGTATAAAATATTTTAATAGCTCGCACTTATCGGGAATTGAAAAATATAATTTTTGAAAAATGTAATGTGAATAATAAACATATATGATTAAAAATTAATTAATTGCTATTATGAATCAGAAAGAATAAACTAAACTACAATTGATTTGAATTTTGGAGAACACCACAAAAGTAAAATAGAAACAAAATAGTTGTCATATAATAAATTGACCAAGAGGATAAAAATGCATGTGATTAGGACATAAAATACCTGATCGAAATTTGTAACATTAATGTTACGCTTTATGATCTTCCTTAGTCCTTTTTGATTTGTGTTATCGTTATTAACACCTGTTGTTCTCAAACGTGCCGGTCCTTTCTTTAATTTACCCTTTAGACGTTTGACACTTGCATACGATTCTACTGCATCATTATAATCTTCATGAACTAAATTGTAATAAATACATAATAAATGTAATTACATATATTTTACTTTGAAATGTATACATTTATCAGCAAAAAAATCATATAATATAATGAATTAAAATGTATAGAAATGTTTTGGTATCTTGATTTAAGAGACCACTAATAATGATAGTACTTTAAGAGGATGGTACCCATGCACACAAAATTAAATTAAAATATTGAATAAAAGCCGACACTTAATCAGTAACAGATAATGTTTTTACCTAGAAACTGGATAATTGGTCAATTCACTCTAATATCAAAACTATCCGCATACTATTGAAACTATTTAACGAAAGTTGTGTGTTGTACGTGTGTAAGATGGAGACAATAAATGCATAGGTAGCATCCTATTAAAATTAGTCTATTAATTACTAGGATAGATTTTTTTATCTCAGTTTTCTATAGGTAGCCAACACTATGCACTTGAGCATTTTTGGAATGTGTTTTAAGATAGATTTTTGTAAGCCAATATGATTTTTAAGATATAGTCAACTCTGGGTAAACACGAGGGGGGAGGGGGGAAACAATTTTTGACTTATTATTAATTTAAAGTATTCAAAATTTTAAAAACGTATTCATTTATTTTTAAGTTATTAATTATGCCTTGGTCTAATGGCTGCAATATAAACGTAGTATTGGGAGATGAAAATTAAACTTGAATAGCATGAAAGGTCGAAGTTAAATTAAGTGCTGTACAATGATTGATAAAAAGTAAGATTTTCCTTTTCTTGTCAACCATTTTTTTTTTTAATTTCAGACGTCATCTAGAATTTTTTATTTGTATAATAACCTGATGGTAATGATTTTACTTGTTTAAAACATTGTGACATAACTGAAACACTGTGTTCAACTAAACAAACAGAATGGCAAAGAACTAATAGAATAGTTAGCAAGGTTCTACTTTACAATAGTCAACTGTAATAGTGGGTTTTACAAATCACGGTGTAGTACTAAACTTGGATAGGAGAATTTGAGATATTGAAAACTTGTTCAATTAATTTTCGAGTTAACAAGATTATTTTAAACATCAAGTGTTATTGTTATTTGGAGGGGAATGTTATTTGTCCGAGATATCAAGAGTTTCGAGTTACCTGTATTTTGAAATGTACCAGTGTTGTTAAAAGATTACCATGAATATTACGACGTGTGGTCTGAATGGAGAATATTATTTTATATATAGAGTTGAGCATTAGTTATAACTATTTAATAGAACATTTTGGGCTGAAAGATCAGTACTTAGACATTTTTTTTATTTACAATTAAATTATGTTTAAGCTTTAAAAAACTAAATAAATTTGGGATATGGATCTTTTAATCCTCTAGTTATACTTGGTTGTTTAAAATCTTTGATGTTACCAAGTAAGCTATACTGAAGAATATTGAAGAGTACTGAGTTTATTCACTGAATTGAGTTAATGGGAGATGAGAGTAACAAGAGATAATAGTATTTAAATGGAAAAATAATTTTACCATTGTCAGTCCTTGTTTTGTCTCGATTCATTACAATTACTCTTCGTCCCTCTGAGTTACCTGAAAAAGTATTTTTAATTTATTTAATTGAAGATAAAATAATAATTGTTAATAAAACAAAATAATATGCTAGTTTAAAATAATTAGTTATCAATTTTATTACATTGTAATTAAAATAACAAGTTAATAAGTTAAAAAAAGTGTTTGTTAATAATTAAAAACTCCTACATCTTCCGAAGCTTAGTTATATAGTATTAATTAATAAACTATAATAAATAAAAATAATAAAATATTATCATATCACCTTCTGTTTTTATGCTAATTTCTGGTATTTTCGAATGTTTTTTTCTTTTAACTTCATTAGTACTGCTGAAAAATATTAACACATCTTCTTTAAGTTTAAATTATTTAACCCATCTTTAGGGTGGGTTGCATAAACTTCTTGTAGCAAATTAGAGAACTGTTATGGCACCGTTAACCGTTAATGAGTCTTTTAATTTGAAAGAATGTTTAATTCTAAGAATTGTGGTATAGGTTTTACATTTCTATTCACATTATTCAACGAGTTAAGAGTAATTGAAAAGAGCCGTGTGATGTCATTGGGCCGATGTCACTGTAATTGCTTATCTTATACGTGAAAATGTTACACTCTTCACACAATAATTTAAATACTATTTGAGTATATTATCTAATTTGAGTTGTACGTATGTGATGTTTTTATGTACTAAATACATTAGTGGAACCAGAGTTTTTCTAGTGTTTTTTTGAAATATTTAAAAAAACTATTAAAATAAATCGACGCTCTGCCCTATTGTAACTACAATGAATGTAGATAACAAAAATATATATTTAGTAACAAAATATTGAAATTCTGATATTTCTTTTGTCTCATAACCTCAAAAAAATCAAATATATCACATTAATCAAAATCAAAAAAAAAAAAAAATGTTTAGATTGGTAAATCATTGTGTAAAGCGAGCAACTTTAACACTCATAAGATAGGCGATTATGCTGAGGTCAGCCCAGTGACGTTAGGCAGTTATTCTAGATATCCCAATATCTTCTTAAATAATATTTTAGATCTGACAAAATCGATTTTAGTAGTTCAGACTACAATAGTACAATGATTTATCATTTAATAATAATTTTAAGACATTTTTTTTCTATGTGCTCCTTTAATGGTTTTGTAAACTATCGATTACCGGACCTGTAAATTACAGATCGATTGTTGGTTCAATTTATTTGGTAATTACGGTTATCAATAATAAATTTAATATTTTTTTATGCAATTATATCCGCCGCGGAATAAGATCATGACTGTGCGGCAGACCAATTTGTGTCCGTTTTGCACAACCGGATTTTGATTGGTTCCCCGAAACCCATAGAAGTGGTCGCAAGGACATGCGGTGCGTGAAGGAAGTTGTTTTGACTGTGCAACCAGTCATGATCTTATTCCGCGGCGGGTATAACATAGTTTAACACAATTGTATATTCATAACTTTATAGAATGAACGCGACCTAACCTAACGTAGTTACAGGGTAGGTAACAAATGTACACTGTCATTTATGTTACCCGCCCTTAGTCATTTTCGATTCAAGCGGAGCTAGGAAGCTAGTGGTTTTACAATGATTATTTATTTTTTATTTATTTATTTATTTTTTTTTTTATATCCTGTATACAAAATTTCTACCAGAAGGAATGCGATTTCAACATTTAATTATGCAATGCGATAATACGAAAAACCACTAACAATGGGATTTTAATTTCTAACGCGTTGTTTATCACCATAGAAACAAATAAAAATTATAATTATTATAATATTAATTCAACTTACATGATATTATAATAAATAATAACAATATAAAATATCTAGACTGACAAACCGTCTCCGTTCAGAATCGTTTTTCTTATACAATGATATTATATCATTGAATTCAAGTTTAATACAATCCATTATACAATGACCCACCTGTAACCTACTGTACGGCAGAGCGACATCCACTTTCCCGCTTTTTAATTATATAACCATAGTAAATTAATGTAGTCATACCTTGAACCAACAACACCTCTTATGGCTGACTGTAATAACCGTGCAGGATAAAATGAATCTGGTTTCTTCTTTACTTCCACTTGAATCTAAACATTCAAAATAAATTGTTTAGAAATAAAATTAAAATTAATATTTGAATGTAACATGTTTTTTACCATATTTAATCGAAGGGCTCTTCTTCGTTTTAGTTCTGTTCTAAGATCAACTGTATCATTACGCTGCAAGGATTCTTTTTGATCATCAACTCCCTGTTGATTATCTTCAATCTCTTCTTCTTCTTCCTCCTCCTCTTCAATATATTCCTCGCAACTATCACTGGAGTTTTGTCCATCTTCTTTTTCACTTTCTTCATCTACATTTTCTTCAGATACTTCCTCCTCAGATACTTCTTCTTCTGATAACTCTTCTTCTGATGTACTAGATACTTCCACTGCTTCAGAATGTAATACTTTTGTTACAGTGCTATTTGGTTTAGCAATATTCTCATTATGTTTATCAAAATTATCAACTGAAAAAAAAATCAATATTATCAAAACAAATAAATATACATATTTTAGTAAAATTAATATTATATCAAACCTTCTTCAATAAGGGCTTCATTTTTTTCTTCATGTCCAAACACGATCCTGGGTCGCTTTTTATTACAAATTTTGTCTGAAGAAGTATTAAGTTTTACAACTCTTCGTAAATGTACAGTTTCCAAATCATTATTCATTTTTATGCTAATATTTTTTGGAACCTGGAAGGAATGTGCAACTTTTTTTACTTTCTTTATTAAATGAGTAGTTTTTGGTTTTATTTCTGGTTCTTTCTTTTCATTTTGAGTTTCTTTATTTTCAGTCTGAATTGCTACTTGAACGGAATTGGATTTTTTCAAAATAATTTTTTTACTGGTTGGTTCAATTGGCTTGTTGGACTCAAATTTTCTTTTTCTTGCTTCTAAAACCGGATCTATTGGCCTTGATTCAACTTGATTATCGACAGATTTAATTTTTTCTCTTTTCTTTAAGTGATCATCATCCATAATTTTATTATCTTTACGGCGAATATTAGGAGGAGATATTGGTCTTGACCTTATCACTTTTTTTAATGGACTAGGTGATCTTCTTCTAACAGCTGGTCTCATCTTAGGTGATCTAGATTTTGATTTAATTTTTAGTGGAGATCTACTTCTTCTCCTTAATGGTGATAACCGTCTTCTACTAGGTGATAAATCCCGCGATACAGATCTACGCCTTCTTCTTGGAGATGGTGAACGGTAAGGATAACGAGATTTAAGAGGTGAATATCGTCTAGGAGAAAGATTTTTTTCCCTTAATGGTGACAGACGTCTAGGTGATCTTCTTGGTGATAATGACCTACGATAGGGCCTTGATCGTAGTGGTGAATATCTATATCTGTCTAGAGAAGGAGATCTTCTTCGTGGTGATCTGGACAATGGTGACCTTTTTTGAAGTTTACTGTAAGGAGACATTGATCTTTTTCTAAGAGGCGGAGATGGAGATCTCAAAGGTACACGTGATTTCAACAAACTAGATTGTGATGAAGAGTTTCTAATTTCTTCTAAAGTTTTTATAGATTCTAATTCTTCTTCAGGTGGATTTAACAAAGGTTTGGAATCTGCAATAATCTTGGGTTGATTTATGGGTATAGGAAGTTCATCCATTTTAGTCTTGGCATCCAATTTATTTTTTAGTGTACCCTTATCTTTTTTATTTTTATGTTTTAAACTTTTCTTTTCTTTTTTAGATGATTTAACATCACCACCAGCAATTTCAGCCTCCATAATATCCATTAGTTTATCAAGATCATCTAAATCTTCATCTTCTTCGCCCAATAATAAGACATCTCCATCATCTGAATCGTTTTTTCCATCTTCTGCTTCACTATCATCACTTTCTTCAGAACCAGATTCATTTTCTAATCTGCTAAATTTTGTAGAAACTAAAAAAAAATAATTTAAAAGAAATACATATAAAATTAATAATATTATTTTTAGTATAGATTTAAGGGTCCTTGATATAAATAAAATATTTTATTTAATTACCTTCATTGTTTAAATTCTGAAAATTGGTTAATTTGGTGGAATCGGAAGTGTACGTGAGTTTTGAATTCCTGGATATTGAATCATTTAGCGAATCACCTTCACTATCCATTGGTATAATTGCAATTAAATTGTTGTTTGCATGAGTTGGTCTTCGAAAACCAACCTATTAATAAGAACAATATTTTATAAAACAATGTATTTTAAATATAAAATTAGTATTAACGTACATTAGCATATGTGCGTTTATTATATGATCTATTTGGCACCGGAAAGCAGCGTCCTCTATTATTACTTCTTGCAGGATTATTATAGGAGTTACCATTTGCAAATTTATTAAATTCTCCAGATGTACTACTTATTGCATTAATTGGCAAATTAGATTTTTTTTTGAATGTCATAAGTGCAGCTAGACGTAATTTTTCAACATCATCATCATCAATACTCTAATAAACATAATAAATAATTCAAAATAATTAATGTCAAATAATAATATAGGTAATATAATTAATACTATATAATATAATACTAGGTATTTAGTTTTTCAAAACTTATCATTACTAAATATTAAAATCATTTAACAAAAGCTGGACCTAAATCAAAGCCAAGGTTTTTAGTACCTTGATTTATTTAGGACAGTTTGGCATAGAAGTTATGTGAATTTTGTCATGAGTTTTTAAATAGTTTATAATGATGATTATCAAATAACTAAACACAACAGAAAAGTAACAGACAAAATGCATCAATATTATTAAAGAAAAACATTAAAAAATAAGTTTTAATATCTGAAACGCATTTTACTAATATTGATTATTATCTCAACCTAACAGACTTTCGATTCTACCACGACTAAACCAATCATCTAGATCTGGACTAGATGGCATTACTCAAGCAGGTACCTCTATTTATGTCAGGTCATACTCACATAGATCCCAATTTCTAAGTTCTAAGTTCCATATTATACAGTCATATCCAGCACACCAACCATATTAGTTAGTATGACATACCCCTTCTTTTAGCAGCTACTTATATTTTATTGTCCTCTAAAACATAGTGAGTTTTCTAATCAAGGTTCAAATCAATTTCATCTTTTCTTCTTGGTCTTAACTTCATTGTCAGTGGGAAAATAAAAGCTAAACAATTCCGTTTGGAATGCTAATCTACAAATCTTCAACAAATTCAGAAGTAAAAAAAATCTAAGAGTATAGGTATAATATTTCACAAGAAAAAACTGGAAAGTTATCTCGCCTTCAAATCTCCTATAGGTACTGGCTAACATTTTGCAGCTCTTAGACAAACACCAAATAAACTACAATTTTCATTAATCATTTAAACCTAAAATAAAGGATTTTGAATACCTATTAACATAATTGGATTTTCTTATAACTGTTCCACTCATTGTAATCAAATTTTGTCTTATTACCCATGTATGTGTTAATATAAACATATTTGGAAAAGTAGGTAAACCAATATTTAAATTAATACTAGACAGCGTTTGTAAAAAATGTAATAGGTACTAACATATTTTTTATATAATAATAACTGTTGTATTATTTAAAAGATTAACATATGGCAAATCTCAAAATTTTTACTCAATATTTCAATAAATAATAATAACAAATAAAAGCCACACATAATATGAGCATTTAAATTTTTAGTAATTTTGAGTTTAAATATTTATAACCAATAATAATTAAAGCCTGAAGGTGCAGTACGTATAAATTTAATCATGATATTGTTGTTGTAAATATGTTACACAAAGCGTTAATACTCACATTATAGTCCATTTTTCTTTTATTGATCCTCTTCAATAATTAATGTTTATGTATATTCTAACGAATAGACAAATAAGATACTAAAATTATTGAAACATGTCGCTAAAAGATATAATTTGCACACCGCAGAAATTGAGGAATTACGAAAAAAATATAAGTAATAATAATGAAGAGATTGTATTATTGTAATAAAACAATAATTAACAACACAATGTTTTTAGTTTTTTATATGAACTCGCGTCTCCCAGGAGGCCAGGTCGCCAGGACTAAATAAAAGTCAATACAAAAACAAATTAACAAACATACATATTGTACCTAGGGACACAGGGTATTGGAGCAACGAAGATGAAAAGAAAACCAAAACAATAACAAAACAGATGATCCAAAGACATACTAAAATCTGCAGGTTGACAAACCTATCACATATCAGCATTGCCAACATAAATTTAATTTAATTTCAATTTTCTATCATAGTAAAATAGTAAAATAACAAAATAACATCGAGGTATATAAACTATACTGGAGCGCGCACTCGTTATCAAAAAACGAGCCGACGCGTTCGAACGATTCCCCCACCACTGCAGGGCAAAAGATTACCACACGCCGGCCACTACGTGTCTACGTAGTATGTTCTCATGGCTCTGAACTCTTGGTTAATGGTTAATTGTTTGTGCTGTTTTTTTGTCTTTAACCTTATTTTTCTATTAAAATTAAAATTCGTCAAAAACATTCTAATATATATATGAACAAAAATGATTATTTCGTTAATAATCGTAATACAGTAAAGTTAATTGAATATACTAATGAAATACTTGATTATATTGCTGGATATATTGTAAAAAATATTTGCAAAAAAGTTGTGTGTCCTTACTGTATTGATATATTAGTAAAAAGTGATCTAACAGATCATAGCTATGTAAAATATGCAAATTTTACATCTTTTGTAAATCGGGGGAAATTGAAAATAGTTTCATCAGGTGTATCACTTATATTATTCAAGAGCTTGAAAACTCTTTTCAAGCTGTTTTTGTTATAAATAAAAAATTACATAACAATGTGAAACAAAACATTGTAATGTTAGCAAAAAAAAATATATTGAACAAAAGTACTCTACTTTTTTTTCCCAAATTCACATCCTATTACTGTTGATATTGGTTCCCCAAGTCATGAGTATAGCCTCTTTACTGCACTTAAGTCAATGTTTTGTTAATATAAGAATGCGTCATTATGCCAAAGAAATAAACTCTAAACAAGTATTTAAAAATAAATCATCATTAAGGCAGAAATTAACAAAATTAATTTTATTTAACAATATTTAAACTGTTAAAACTCAGGGGCGTCATTTCAGTTTTTTTTCCGGGTGTGCAAGATTTTAGGCAGGCCAATTTTAACATTTAACCAGGCCAACTTTAACATTAATATCTAAACAATAACCATGCCGTTTAAAGTATTTAGTATTTATTTTATCTGCTATGCTTACTCCACTATAGTTGATACCAGCAGGCTGGCACGAACTGTCTTACATAACAAAACCACAGAATAAGACTCGCTTCACACGGTTGTCAAATAGGGATACATTTGATAATAAAGCTGATAAAAAAAAAAATTTAATCACATGCATGAATCAGTGGCGCCAAAATATATATTTACTTTGCGCATGGTAAGGTAATTATAATAAATAGGTGGGTGTCAAAATTGTATGTGGAGGTGTCTAATGCCATAGTTAAAATGTTGGACTTCAGCGCCATTGGGCCAAGAATATTTTATTAATTTTTAATAGTAATCATATCGGCGCATAGGAGCATTAATGGAGGGCCAATTATTAATTCGTCGCACACCCTGCCCACCCCCAAATGACGCCCCTGTTAAAACTACTCATTGAGTGTATTTGATTTGTTTTTATACTTTTATTTATAATTTGAATGTAATTTATTTTAGTATGATATTATGTAAATGAATGTTAAATTATATGTTATTATAATATTTTTAAAGGAAATAATAAATATTTTCATTAGTATTTTTAATTTTATATTGTATGTGTAGTAATGATAAGTATTGTATTTCTCAAATATTGAAATATATATTAGAGTATACTATACTAAGGGCTAATACTTTTATTGTTTTGCTATTAAAAAAATTAAATGATATTAAATTATTTTTATTGATTCCTAATTTAATAATTTTTGAAAAAAATAATGTATTATACACGTAAAGGTAGTAGGTACGTCGTACTATTATACGGTACATGGCATTAAAGATGCCCTGCAGTGGTGGGGGAAACGATCGAACGCGTCGGCTCGTTTTTCATTACACGGACGGTATACGCAGTGCGCGCTCCAGTATAGTTTATATACCTCCATGCAAAATAATAAGTAATACCTACCTGATTGTTAATATATTTTACTTTGGCTATTTTATGATATTTTTGTTTTTATGTAAATTATGAGCGTCTAAAATAGGTTTGGTTTCTGGATCTAGTTGGTACTTTTAAGGGGTCCAAATTTAAAATTGTCAGTACCTACTTTTTAAAATATAGTGGAACCTCGATAAGTCGAAAACCTTGATAAGTCGAAAAAAATTCCATCCCCTTGCGAAAACCTCGATTACTCGAAAAAAAAACTATAGATAACTCGAACATTCTGTGCTCCGAATATGACGGATAATGGCAGATAATTTTATAAACATTTATCTAATTGGCTTGTCCGTTCCGATAATTTTATCTAATCTTCATTGTTTCAATGAAGCAAGCAACAGCAGCCCTCATATTGCTAAGGACATTCACCTAACAATTGAGTAATGTGGACGATAAAGTGTACTCTGCTTTAAATGTAATAGAAAATACAATTGATAATAGTAAATATCAAATTTTAAGTCAAAGTAAAATAATAAATTATCTTTTATAAAGTATTATTATATTTTTTTGTAATAATTTTTTTATTTAAATAATCTGTATAATCAAATGTTTTTACATTGTATATACATAATATATACTAAGTACATAATAATTAAAAACTTTAATACATACATACATTTTTAAAACTCTTTAAGTCGAATTTTTTTTCTAAAACCTTGATAACTCGAAAACCTTAGTAATTCGAAAACCTTGATAAGTCGAAAAAATTGCATTTCCCTTGAATTTCGACTTATCGAGGTTCCACTGTAATCAGATATTCTAATATTGACAAAACCACAAAATTAACTTATTAACTTAAAAATGTATAAAATGTTGATTTTTTATAGCTAAGTTTTGATCATTTAATACAACGTCCCTAATAAAGTACCGAGTTCAAATATAGGTACTGTTAACTAAAAAATAAAAAATATTTGTGGAAGTCTAAGTAAATACGTGGAAACGCGTATATGACTTGGCGTCTTGGCGTGCCGAGTACACTATCGTAATTGCTAAGAGTTTTTTTTTTCTCTAAATAGAACATTTTTTAAATAATGCGCGCCTTTAAAATCTTGCGCCCGGGGGCAGATGCCTCCCCCCTTGTCCTTTGTAGAGTTGTAATATATTATGTAGGAATGTTCGTGTTCAATTATTTTAGTAACTTACTTCTTTGCATCTTAATCATTATCCCAAATATTATGATATATGCAGTAACGTAGACATATTTCTGAAAGGGCGGAGATCAAAAAAATAAAACAACATAACTGGGAGGGGAAAATTGGAAAATCCCCCACCCTCTCAAAACTTTTTACTTAGGTAGTAAAATATGTAATAAGGAACAATGAATATAATTTGAATTGATTCAAAATTCACATCAAACACAATCATATGGAAAATTAGAACTCCATGGGGGGATATGACTCATTTATAATATAATATTATTTAATTTCAGTATAATATTTGTCAAATTGAGATTTAACTTACTGTCACGGATTAATTTATCCTGTGTTAGGTTGTTAGGTGCTGTACTTTTAATTTTTATTACCAAAGGATATACCTACCTATCCGTTTATAAATAAATAAATATTTATACAGCAATATTATATAATATAATCTTAGATCATATGACATATACTAGTATATTATGATATTATGATCTAAGAAGATAATAATATGTACCTATTTATCAATATTATAATAATATAATAATAATAATTATCATTCAAATTGTATATATTATAAACAGGGCTCGGAAGTTATAGCACTAAAAAAATTAATTTTTAGCGCTTAAATATGCACATAAAAACATTAATATAAGCGCTATAAATAGCACTAAAAATTGGAAAATATGCAAAATAAAATTTCATTTAGTGGTTAGCTTTTTCTAGTTCCTCCGAATTAAGTAAAAACATATTGCCTGCATTATTTTCCTCAAGAGTGCCTACTATTACATTTGCAATGTAACGACCCTGTACATAATCAGTGGTCTCGTCGATACTGACCCAAATTTTTTTGTCAGAAATTATTTTCCTAATTTTATCCATGGTCTCATTGTAAATATCATCCACATATCCTTTTCTCAACTTGGATTCACTCGGAATATCATTTTTTGTATAACCTTCCAAAAATGTTTTAAATTTTGGGTTTTCTAACTTGTTTGAAGGAATTTTAGCAGAAATAAAAGCCTCACACAAATCTTTATTAAATGACGATTTTTTACTAATATTACTTGTCGCTGTCAATAACTGCTGTTGTTGTCGATTTATTTGATTTTTATATCGGGCAAGGCCTTTGATATGTTTGTCACTTTTTATATGTTGTGATACGTTAAACTTTTTGTCAGAATTAACTTTGACTTCACACATTTTACAAAATAATACACTTTTATCAATTGAAAAAATTTAGGACCATATAAATTAACATAGGTTTGGAGCCGATTTGACAAATTTTGTTTAACTTTAGGCATTTTTAAACACGATAAATACGATAGTTCACGATCAAACGCACAACACACAAATGACGGCAAAACGCAGACAACTAAAATAAAATCATAGGTCTTTACGTACGGCGATAGCTCCGTATCTTACGTAAATACGACGAATTCGAACTCCAAATTAGCAAAATACCTTCTATAATATGTATTTATGTGAAAATAAACCCAAAAATAGCACTAAAAACCTAAAATTAGCAAAATAGCAGTAAAAACCGTAAATATGCAAAAAATAGCAAAATTAAATTTCGTGTATGACATCAGAGAAGTGTGAAACATATTTGTATCTTACTTTGGATGTTCTAGGACGAACCAATAAAAATATGCATTTGCTAGAACTTCCGAGCCCTGATTATAAATCATTATTTTTGACAGCCGTACCACAAATATTGTTCTATGATAGGACCACAGAATAAAAATGATTATTCTGTGATAGGACCATCGACCATGGTTTTCTTTATCTAGTACATGATAATAATATAACAACCGAAATATCTACTCTTTATAAAATAAAAACAGATAGGTTCACCCATAGAATAGTATTCTATACCCTGTAGACTGTAGTTCACCTACACCTGTACTATTTTAAGTTTATTGTCATATCTATTTATCGAATTAGCGTTCTCAAATCTTAATTTACCTACTCATAACTCATTCATAATAGTTTTTATTAACCAACGTATAATATAATAGTGATCACAGCGTAATAAATCAAAATCAAATGTCCACTATGAGCAAATCGGTATGTATTTCTGAAACTATATTTTCATATAGGTAAATGGTATATGAAATATTGAAATATGAATACATCACAAGTTATTTATCTTATAATTGCTTGTAAATATTACTATTTACTATTGAAATTCATAGTTCTTAATATATATTATATAGGTATAAAATTATAATCTATATATTATTTTTTATTCTTATATAGGATGAGTAGGCCAGTGGCTAAAAATTTGACTTACCTGCATATTTAAATGTTTTCTTATTATTTAATAGGTTTTTAAATACCTATATATATATAAACATTTAAATTATAAAAGCAATATATTAAATTGTGTTTGGAAATTTAATTTATGAATTTAAACTAAATATTTTTTTATTGGATGTCTCGTCCGATCCTTGTGGTAAATATAGGAATTCAGAAACATTCTCTATTCTGCACTAAGGCTCATAGGTGTGCGCAGACTCCAGTTTCAGGGACAGCTAGAGATTAATTCGGACCATTCTCCCAATTCGCCGTTAAACTGCCCATATAGTTTTACTTTTTTCTCAATACGGTATCAAAATTAAAATTGTTATGATTTTTGGTTTTTTTTTTACCATGTAATATATAACAATCCAAAATCAAGACATATTTTTTTTTTACAGTAGACAGGTTGATTTGTTTTATACTCGGTAAATTCTGTAATCATAAAATAATTATAAGTTGTGGAAGTATAATTTTACCGAAGCTCATTATTCAATATTTACCAGCAGTTGTAGCCCCAAAAAAAATTTGGGGCATCATATGCTGCCTTTGCTGCCCCCTTGTGCACACCTATGCTGAGGCCTAGAAATGTAAAATCCTCTGCTTATTAGATAACCGTGTATATTACGTCTTATTATTCGGAATCTTGTCAAACCTGATATTAATATTTATAGTTAAATGGTTAAAGTTTCTACTTTTTCCCCTTTTAAAATATCTTTAATATTAGGTTATTTTTCATGTTATTATTTTAAAACAAATGAAATATATGAACATCACTGGTCCAATATTTTATATGCAGTGTACTAAATAATAACATAATATATTGCTTATTAAACTAACCATAAATAAAAAATATTATATTATATTAAAATTTAATAAATCTATCACTACCCACTAAGGACTAGCCACTAAGGGCCGTTCTTACAATGTCCTGTAAAGTGTCGGTTAACGCTAACCGACTGATAACAGATTTTATTACCGGCAGAATTCTTCCGGTTAAGTGTCGGTTAACTTTAACCGGACGTCGTAAGAACGGCCCTAAATGTTTAAGTGCCTATTTAATTAGTATTATTCGAGTATTATTGTTAATTAATTAAATATTTAGTAAAAATTCATGCAAGTTTTAATTTGCAGCACAGCATAAAATAAATTGTTATGTAACTTGTCAGTTTTGCCGAACCTATGAACCGAGAGGGGTTATAGCCCCCCTCCTTTTCCAGTGGGTATCCTCCTGATCTTCCAAAATAAGTACATATGGTCAGCATTAATTTAGTGGTAAATGGACATTTCCTCTAGACATTTTCCCTCAAACTGTTTTCGGTCTAGAGGGACGTATCCCCCAGATATATTTTTGATGAGGACATTTTCCTCGCATTTTTTTTTTAAGTTAATTTATACTAATAATATTGAATTTAATAATATAATATTATTTATTATTTAATATGAAATTTTTTTCTAAATAAAATAGAAAATAGTTTTTATTTTTATTAATGTAATAGATTATAAATTTATATGTTTAATCAACTAAACTACTTCAAACAATAAAAATTTTAAAAAAAAATAAGAAGGTATAAAGTAAAATATAATTAATAATTAATAAAAATTGTTAAAAATTCCGACATACAAATGATACACTTTATAAAAAAAAACATTTGAATTCTGATTTATTTGTTATTTCTTAACTTATATTTTTTAGCTTTTGTTCATATTAATTTTTTTATTTCTATTAAAACTGTACCAGTTTGAATATTTAACAATTTAATAATTGCTTGTGAATTTGTTTCAAGTAGTTCAGTTGATCAAAAATATACATCTATAATTTACTATATTTATGAAAATATTTGACAATGGGCATAAATATATTCATATTAAATAATAATATTATATTATTAAATAATAAACTTAAAAAATAAATGTTTGAGAAATGTCCTACTATTATACCGAAAACAGTCGGAGGGAAAATGTCCGCGATTCAAATTTAGTATGTGTCATGTTTGGTGCAAAAAGTGGTGGTTAATGAGAACTAATTGTTGTCCCCCCTCCAATTTAATTTTTGTTCAGCACCACTGTTTACTTGTTGTGAATCAATAAAGTAAATCACAGTTTGGTAAAATATGAAATAATATCACTTAAAATATATGACTCATAAAATGTCCTTCATAGTTGTGTCATTTAATGAGATGGTCTTAGGTTTATTATATTATTTTAACTGAGGAAACAGGGGGTGTGCAGTCAGAGGTATCATTGTATTTTTAAGTTTACTAAATAAATGTTTCATTATTAAAATTAGTGATGCAATGTTGTAATTTTCAGATTACTGATTCGGAAGATCAATTAGCAGGTAATTTTTTTTTTTATTTCTAGTTAAGAAACATACTTGGCGGTTGACTAGTGCACAGTGCTTAACTATATGGCAGGCATACAAATGATAGACTTGCCAGTCTTAATGGTGATGACCACTGCCAACTTAACACAATATTTAGAATTGTATGTTAAGCCTTCTAATAAAGTATTACTTAAATTTTTTAAACATGATCAATTTAAAAGTATAATTCAATTTATAATTAATACTTATAATTTATAAAAAAAGTTTGGATCAATTGAAATATTACAAAATAAAAAAAATTATAAACATGTTTTTAAAAACATCAAATAATATGTTTTTTTTCATTCCAATGCATTTAGTCAAATCTAAATTGGGATCTTGCAGTTGACGTGATATTGACAATGTTATTGATAATAATTCAATTACTACTTCTAATGCAAAAATAAATTTGAATATAAATTAGATATATTCTAATATAATATATTTTTCTTCAATATCAAACTCATTAGTAAAAATTTACTTCGAACAAATCTGGAATATTAATACACAGTATTAATATTGTCATTTACTTAATTTAAAAAAAAAAAAAAAAAACGTGGCCTTGTTTTGTGGTGTTCAGAACTTTTTTTGAAATTGTATGGAATGCTTTTATTTTCATATTATTATATTCACTTTCAGCAATAGGCCTTAAAAAGTGCCTTAAACTGATAATATAAGAGATAATATTTCTTCGGGCAAGTCACGGTGTCCGGAGAATAAGTGTCGCCATGCCCCGGGTATGGCAGATACCTACAGGTGCCCAAATCAAAATTTCTGCCAAAACAAACACACACGTGTAAACAAATCTACAGTACCACAGGCTAAAGTCTACTTTACCAACCCCCTCATGATTTTCAAAATTTTTTTTTGAAAAAAACTTGTTTTTTATGCTTAAAACGATAGTGTAATTTTTTTTTCCCGGAAACTATTATTTTAGAACTTATAGCCCTCCAAAGTTTACGATTTTACGTTTATGCGCATGCGCGCAATGCTACTTGACTGCCACGCGCAGTGCCTATAACAATTTTTTTTTTTTACGTATTTTAACAAGTTTTGGGACATAGTCAGTTTTGGGTAAGTAATATTGTGAATCACAATTTTTGTTGCATCATAGATAGATCCAGCCATTTAAAAAAATTCAACCAAAGGATCCAATTTTTGTGCTTTACACATTTTTTGGAACATAAACTTGTCTAAATATCCAGCAATGAATTGTTTTTTCCAATGGAATTGAGGTAATGAAAATTTAGCATGCCGCCAAAGGCCTTCAATGGTGTTTGTGTGTTGGCCACTTTCGGGATCCTTGTAGTTTACGGAATGGTTGACCTTAAAGTTTTTATACCCCTCCTCTTCCAAGCAATCATAAGCCTAAATAATAATTTGTTATTTAAAATTTAATTTACTTGAAAATTATTCGAAATCTTACTTTCCAACAGTCTGATATGATTGTTGTTCCTGGTAATATCCATTCCTCGATTATTTTGAGTAAAGTATCCTTATCTCTACGCTCTACTGGAATTAAAAAGCAACAATTTGAACCTCTTTCTACACCACCAAACACCCACTGACCAACTACTAAATGACCTCTGTTATACTTCCTTTTTCCGAATTTGCTCTCATCAATTTCCACCTCTACAAAAATGCAATTTTCTTAATCCTGTGATCCACTTGGGGAGGAGTTGCATAGCAAATCAGGGGATATTTTCGTTTTTAATTGTCCGAGTGACCCCACTCGGTGACTCGGTGCAACAAAAATGCAATTTCCTTAATCCTGTGACCCACTTGGAGAGGTGTTGCATAGCAAATCGGGGGATAAATTATTATTGCACCATCGTTTTAAACAGGTTTGAATACGTAAGTACAAAAAAATAACAAAAATAGTCCTCCGCGTGGCATTATAGTAATGTTGCGCATATGCGCATAAACGTCAAATCGCAAACTTTGGAAGGCCATAACTTCTAAAATAATAGTTTCCTGGAAAAAAAATTACACCATCATTTTAAGCATAAAAAACCAAGTCTTTTGAAAAAAATTTGAAAATCGTGAGGGGGTTGGTAAAGTAGATTTGTTCCGTACCACAGGCTTATAATCTAGTAGTTGAAGCCTTAACCTTAATAAAAAAAAAAAAAAAAGAGATAATACATTTTCTAGGTAGGGACTAGGGAGTTCTAAAAACACGGGTACCTACTCGTTACATTTTTCAAAACCTGGCGCCTATGAATGTTATAATAAATAAATGTTGGATGTAGCCCTAGGTTTTTTCAATATACAACAATATTATTTCTTATTTCCTATTCCCTTGGTGTTTGCTCCAAAATCAAGACAGGATTCAGAAATTTCACACATTACAATAAACATTCAGAAGTATATACTATTAGTATATAAACACTAATAAATTAAATTATGCATTTATGCTACAGAAAATGTTTAATAGTACCTAATATTTTAAAATAACAAAAAACATATTGTTGAATGAATGATAAAATAATATAAATAATTATTGATTGGGATACGCAAATGTGATATTATAATTATAGTCTTAGTACAACTGCTAATAAAATCCATTATTCTAGTTCAAAACAAGTAATTTCGGCTCATTCCATTGAGATGTATAATAGTTTAAAATATTTTATACTATTTTAGAAAATACTGCATTGGCGAACATCGGGGGTTGAGGGAGCTCTTAGCTCCCCCAAAAGTCTATTAAGTCCCCTATTTTTTTAGTTGTAAGGGATCCACCCCCCCTACTCACCTTAATGTTAACAATGTTACCCACCTCTGAATAAAAAATGGTTTTCCGGCTATGTTAATACTGTGAAATAATATGCTACTAACTTAAATTTAGATAAATATCCTATACACTTTTCCACTGAATGATGTTTTTGATATTTAATTTATAAGTATTATAACCTAAAATTTTTTAGAAAAATGTAAACATTTTCAAATTATATAGTCATTTTAAGTTTTGATAGTTGACGAGGTGCCACCACTGGGGAATTTCCTCTCCCGTCAATCAAATCTCATAAAATTTACTTACTGTATAACATGTAAATACAGATTGTAAATATATAAATTTTTGTTCAGTAAAAAAAAAAAGTTGATATTATGGTATTATGTTTGTTTAAATATCAATATTATCCCTTTTTAGCTCTCAAAAAAATATTATCTATAACAAAATTACTCTAGCATGTGTTTTAAAAATAAAATAATTATTCCATTTCACTCAAATTTAATAAATAAAACTTTATGAGTTTGTATAATTTTGTTTTATACATGTGGTGCGCGGTGGTGTTACAGCATTTTTTTAAACAATACCTAATGTATTAAAAATTGTTATTAATACTTCATTACTCAATGCCCATTGATTATATATTGTAATATATATACTTAATGCTATTACTTTAATTTAATTTTTTAATTTCTCGAATTTTTATTAATAAGATTTACTTTTCAACCTGATAATGGTTGAGTAATTTAGTCTAAGTTTTGTATGTAATTTTAAATTTGCATTGCTTTTAATAAAGGAATTTGAATTTTATACCATATAAAATGTGTAATACATAAGATACGCATTAAGGTCCCCACACACTGCAGCCGTGGCGGTTACGGCAAAATGAGTCCGGACAAAATTTACCTCCACCGCTGCAATGTGTGGTGTCCTTTACATGGTATAGTATAAAAAAATGTTTTATACCATACTTTAAGATACACATATTATACAAAGTTACAAAGTTAAATATTTGTATAACAAAAAAAAAAACGTATTTTAACAATGCTTAATAAGACTATGGATGTTATCTATATTCATTATCATCTGATTTAGCTTTCAGTCTATTTAAGGCCTTTGATGCTTATTCTACTTTACTTCCTCATTAATTGTATTCCCAGTAGTGGATTTTCAACATTTTTCTGGGGTGGGGGAGTTTAGTACCCCTGGACCCCCCTTAAATCCGCCACTGTGTATACTAGTCTTATATTATTAGATTTACATACCTACCTACTCTATCTGTTTACTTATATAGGTAGCAGTGCCGGCGCTAGGTATTGCGGGGCCCTGGTCATAGGTAATAGCCTTTAGGTTCTCAGAGAGTAGTGAAATTTTAGCTTTTTTTTAAATCAGGATTTTAAAAAAGGACTGTTTTTATATATAATATAGGTAAATAATTAAATTTAAATAATGCTCTGTCAATTCTTAATGAATCAAGATATTTTAATGAAACAAAAATCAAATTAAAGCTTATTTTTATCTTTGTTATTCACTTGCCCCATATATAATTTTATGTAATACTAATAGCAAAAACAATCCGATTTTGCACTTGCCCCATGAAAAGGGGCAAGTGTGGGCAAGTGTGACGTTTTAAAATTAAAAAAAAAAAAAAAATTATTCTTAGGTGAGTGATAATATAACTTTGTTGACTATAAATTACAATTATGTATATCTAGAGGTGTTACGTTATGGAACAATAACAACTTTAAGTTAAAAACAAAAAAAGTATTGTCAAATTCAAAATTAACTTTTCATTTTTGCGTCACACTTACCCCACTTTACCTTACCTACTTGAGTAAACGGAGACAACACATTCGAGTGCGATTCCTCCTGATGAAACCTTGCTCAGCACAGAATTATTGGCGTAGCGTGAGTTTCAGTTAAACCTTTGAGTGGAAAATCGTAGGCTAATAAATTCATAAGGGCTGGTTATTTTATTAATTTACATTTATTTTAACAACTACATAAAATCATCAATTAAAAATAAATTAATTCATCAAAATGTTTGAATAAAATAATAAATTGTTTAATATCTAAGTACGCAACTCTGCAGCCAGAATAATGCAATATACGACGGTAGACCACGGTATTCGTATCAAGATGATAATTAAAAATCACGGGGCTCTTTAACAAGCGCGGGGCCCTGGACAAATGTCCCATTTGTCCTCCCCTAGCGCCGGCACTGATAGGTAGTTTTATGTATTCTCTGTACCTTTTATACTGGCAGATTTTTGAAACAATTAACAAATTTGATCTATTTCTGAGGTTGAGTTTTAATTCATTTGTTTGTAAATTAAAGTTTATGTTGTCTTTACACATATATTATAATATATGTTTGTTTATATTACAATTTTTTTAGAAATGGAAGAAGCATTTCAATTGTTTGATAATAGAGGTGACAATAAAATACACATATCAAATATTGGTAATGCTCTTCGCGCATTAGGTCAAAATCCTACCGAGTCAGATGTAAAGAAGTTTACACAACAACATAAAACTGGTATGATTTATAAAATGTACATAATAAATGTCAATATTATGCTGATACTATTAGTTAAGTAAATATTTTTCTTTTTAGACGAACGCATTCCATTTGATGTATTTTTTCCCATTTATCAAGCTATATCTAAAAACCGTTCCTCAAATACAGCTGATGATTTTAATGAAGGTTTACGACATTTTGACAAAGATGGAAATGGATTTATATCATCTGCAGAATTACGCCACTTACTTACGACACTTGGTTAGTAAATAATTGAATTTCATTATTTGCTTTTTTTTTATTAATAATCTAGTGTTTGTACTAATGTAGGAGAAAAACTTACTGATGAAGAAGTTGAACAGTTATTAACTGGACAAGAAGATTCTTTAGGAAACATAAACTACGAGGAATTTGTGCGTTCTGTAACATCGGGTTGAATGAGTCAAACATCTTTTAGTATTTATTTTTCTTATTATTTAATTAATTGTTGTACCTAATCATTATAAGCACATTTCAAATACATACTTTTATATTTTGTTATCATTATACGAGAAAAACGGTAACTATTTGGTGTGACGTATATTATAATATAACTTAATAAAATAAATTGATTTAAATTTATTGTTGATATCTTTTGGCCTGGGAAATAATAAAATTGGCTGCCCACAATAACCATATTTTGGTAAATCAAAAGTTAATTTCTAACAATATTGTTCTACTGCACATTAGCCCCTAAATAAGAAAGACAATGCATGTCTAACAAACTAATTAAAATATCTGGCTAAATAATTATAGCTCAGCTTCCTGTAAAATATTATACTTTTAATTTCCAATTGTTTAATAACTGCAGCAGAATCTATATCAGTAGATATTTTCACTGGAATCCATAAGTATTCAATCAATTTTGCAAGTGAGTTTTAATAACTTTAAATAAAATAAACGTTGAAAGCAACCTAATTATAAAATAAATATTTAAGTAAGTGCAATGTAAAAAAAGTAATAACTCAAGCTATTTAATTAATAGTTTAAGCATTACTACCCGAGTTGAAAGCAATTTTACGGATTGGTTACTTTGGTACTTTTTTTAGGACTTTGGTAAGAAAAGTCCTTGTAAGGTCGGAGTGCATAAATCCAACCTATACAATTTTCTTTTGTTTGGTGCTATTTTAGATTTATTCATCATAATATTATTTAAGTACACAATTGCTATATTGTACTTATATTCTGTGGTTATAATCTTGTGAAGTTATTATGTCTGTTGAACTAACAACTGTTCACATTAGGGACCAAACCCCACAAACATCTACTATATATTTATGATGCAGGATAATTAGAACATATTTTTTTTGTATAATAAAGTACACCTACATAGGTACCAAAATATATTTTTTGATATTCAATATTTATATGATTGCTGTTTGTAATTATCAATAATTAGGTATATTATTCTGTTGTTACTTGTTGCTCTGAAGCTATACAGTATTAATAATCTCTATTTAAGAAGACGTCGTACCCGCATGTGTTGTCTCTGTCTTACACACATTTGATATAGCAAATTTTTGTTCACTAGTTTCAATAGGGTGCTTTCATTTTTGATTTTAGAGTGAATTGACCTAGTATCAAACTTTTACGTAACAACATTATCTGTGTTCTCTCTTTGGTTTTTTACGATATTTTAATTTTTAAGTGAGTTATCAGTATGTAAAATATTAATGTTTGAAAATGCTCATAACTCACTTAAAAATTAAAATATCGTAAAAAACCAATGAGAGAACACAGATAATGTTGTTAAGTAAACGTTTGAAATCAGTTTGAAATCAAAAATGACAGCACCTCATTGAAACTGGCGAACGAAAATTTGGTATGTCATACGTGTGTAAGACGGAGACAATACATGCGGGTGTGACGTTCTCTTAAATGTTATGTGATGTATAATGTATATTATATATTATGAAACATATTGTAGTAGATCCAGTCAGGAGCGACTGCCCTCCCCCCTTTGTATTTAAATTTAATATTTTATGTTATCCTATGTTAATGTATTGTAATATTATTCAGTCACAAATCGTCATATTTTATTTTAATAACACACTTATAAATTGTTGATAACCGATTGCCAGCTGACGCGTGGAGGCTGAGCGGCTTACAGGGTTTTGTCCTAAAATTATTTTCTATATTTGACTGTCAGAAATATATTATGTATATTATCGATTATTGCATATTTATAATATATATATATAAATATATACTCATATTTACCAGTAGGTAAATAGTATATATATTTAGATATTTATAATCCGCCCCTCCCGTTAATGTAGGACGGATCCGCTCCTGTCGTAGTACATTTGAAAAAATGTGTAGCAATTTTTTATTAATATTTTAATTTGGTATACCTATGTTGGGTATATTGTAATTTTTTTATGTGTTTATATTGCTTCTAAAAAATATGCTCCATTGAGTAGGTAGGGCTATTCAGCTATTTCAGTCCCCTCAAATTTATAATACTATTTGCACCTATCAGTCTTGTGAAGAATAATTTTATTTTGTATTAAAATAAATGAGTAGGTATAAGATATTCAGAATACATAATTGATTACATTTAGAATGTTTTTGGGCTCGTAATGGTTGGAAGCATATTTAATTTAAAGAGAAGTACTATTGTTCATGATTTATAATGTGCCCGATTTCTAAGTGAAAAATGTGTGTTGTCACAAATTTAAAACCATTTTTATAGTTCAAAAAAAACATTTTTAAACAATAAAAAATACAAACTAATTAGTCAGAACACGTGGCCAAATAATAAAAAAAAAAATTTATATAAATAAAGCCTGCAAAAAATAAAATGTTCAAAATAAATATTATGAAGATGTTAACATAAAAAGTAAATATATTTGAAAATATGTTGGGACATTTTTTATATATTTTATCCTCATGGGAGTTCTTTTACCCTGGAGTAACACAACTAGTGGTTTTTAAAATTGTATACTAGTATGCTATTTCCTTTGAAATTTATTTATATACTACAATCAGTAGGGCCGGATTAACATAAGTAAAAGGAGCTTAGCACCAGGGCAGCATTTTCACATGCTCATATATAGTATTATACATGAAATATAACATGTTGTTTTAACTTTTGAAAAGAGTACCCAATATATATTGCTTCAGGGTAGCTCTGAAAATCAGGAAAATGATACTTAACTTGAAGCAGTTTACAACATCAAAAAATTGTTTCAACTAATAAACCTTGTAAAATATTATACATAGCTTCTCCATGCCGCATAGAATCTAAAATGAAAATTAATTTTTTTATTTGGTATAAATAATACATACTAAACCACATTTAATGATCAAATTAATACATCAAATGATGTATCAACAATTTGGATAATAGTACTCAATTTAATTTTACCACTTCCATCGATACCTATTAATCATTAATTATGTGTAAATTATTATTTTTATAATATTTATGAACATACTTTTACATCTAAAATTTGTTCAAGCAAAATATTAGTAAAACTATTTAAAAAGGTAGTTTTAAAATTAAAATTAATATATAATACATGTATATACATAAAGGAACTGTCACATAATAAAATTGATAATTTTCAATAATATTGTGCAGCCATGTCTTCTGCATCAATACCAAGCATAGCAAGTTCATCTCCATCAGATTCATTGCCATTTGATTTCTTATTATTTTCTTCTTTAGGCCCCTGAATAATCGGTTCTTCTAATTTATCGTCATCATCTTCGTCATAATCATCTTTAGTAACTTCTCCTTCTTTACCCATAATTTTCTTCATGTGTCTACGTTTTCGTTGGGACGGGGCATTTTTCTTTTTCTTTCTTTCAGGCGAAATACTTAAATTATTTGTTACACCATATGGCATGTTGTAATGTTGATGAATTAATGGATTATGAACTTGAGGATTAATTGGTGTGTTTATAGAAGGTACTACCGAAGAAGCTTCACTGCAAGGAAAAATCATATTCAATGCAGTACTTAAATCTTGAGGTAATGTATTAGTAGTATGTGGTTGAGGTTGACTATACATCTGATGTATTTGATTTCCTGATTGTGAACGGTTCAGTTGTGTTTCAATTAAATCAGTTTCTGAATTTACAATACCATCATTATTTTCATTATCATCATCTATATCCATGTCAACAGGTAATATATGCTTTTCGATCTGAAATAATTTTTATACATTTTTAAAAATTTCAAAAATAGATTAAATTATATTTAATAAAAAGTATTCAACTTGTTTCTACTGATTTTGCAGATTGTCCACTGCCAAGAAGTGAAAAGCTAAAAGAAGAGTTATGATGTAGGGTGCTAATACAGTATGTAGTCTTGTGCCTCATTAGGGCAATCTACTCGCGGTTTACCTGTGCATATATACCAATATCATAATATAAAAAGTATATCACTTAGGTAGGAATGTTAAAATATAGCCCATGGAGCCACTGAAAATAATAGGAATCATGGCTGAAGATTTGAGTCACTGTATTTTTGGCCCCAAATAAGGATCTGACTAGAAATTTTTTTGTCCAATGGTTGGATAAAAATACATAAATTCATATTTTTCAATACAAAAGTGCAGCAAGGTCTGTGATAGGTGGGTAGCTAGGTTGCAGGAGATTGAATGTTATTGGTTACTACCACTTTGACCTAATCTACCAGCATCACTAATTCAAACTGATTACCAAAAGACGGATCTTGAAGATAATGGTCACAGTGAAGGGCATGGATCGAAAGCTGATTTAATCACATCTTAACTACTAGTGTTGGAAAGTTTTAAGAAACGATTACGATGAAAAATTCTTGAAAGTGAGTTTATATATATTTATATATATTTCCTTTGTATTTACTATGGTAAATTTAGTGATAAGCACTATACTATATTAGCATTAAGTATGCATTATAGAATATTAAAATTTTGGAATTTTCAAACATTATATAAAAGCGAATCATATACTTTGATTTAAAATTTTAACTTGTTTAACATGTTTGGACAATAATTTAGTGATTGACCATGTACATTTCAGATTTTAATATTAATAATGCTATTGTCTTATTATTAATAAATTAGTTAAATATTCCATAATAAAAGAAAATACATCTTTATCCATCTAAAATAGAACAGTACCTATCTAAACGAGAATGTTGTGTAAAAATATTCTTTGTAAGATTTATTTTGATTTTTTAAGTCAAATTATTTGTTACTATACCTTTTTTTCATTTGCTGCAGTGATCATTTTTTCTATTAACATTTTTTGAATAGCCACAGATTCCATCAAGTTTTCTTTAGGTTCATTAGTTGTACTTTCAACAGTAAAATTGGGTATATCTTTAGTAGATGAATTTGATTTTTTACTAATTGGCTTTGCAAATGGCATTTTTCCAATAAAAGGTAATTTTATTCTGCTAGTG